AAAGTATTTCAAAGGTTTAGCAGAACAGTGACGATAAATGCACCTGAGAACTGTATATCGCAAATACTCAAATATGATAGAATAACGGTCTGCTTAAACGGTCCCTCTGCATATACAGTAGAAAGAGACGGTCCACTAACTCATGAAGCCCTGTTGTAGAGAAATTATTCGCTGGAGAATGGAGAATCAGACTTTTCATCCGCACCCATGGCTCAAACGTCACTCACACCGGGTTTATCAGCAACTTGATTTATTACTGTTACTATTACTACTTGTAATTAAATCGCCTAGTACTTCAAAAGTGCATCAAATATAATTGCTTACATCAGTGAAAATTTAGTGACCACAGCAAAGTGAACAGACAGAAAGAAACTTCCACGATTAACTCAGCCATAATACATGCCATTCATATTCAAACTCCTTGAGATTACTTTTGTTTTATTTCGAATTTCGTGTTCTAATGTGTGCACAATTTCGAAATAATTTAATCACCACTAGACCGCCTTCCAACCAAACCTTTGATTATGGTACTAAATAAAGCTGGACTTATAATACACATACAAATTTGTGACCCATCGTGTGGATTATTGGAAAAATCGTCACGTTTCCTGTTCAGCAATGAACATCCGTCATATACTCCCTGATACCGCACTTGATTTTCTCACTTGGATAACTTATTCCGGTCGGTAATCCATGTCGAATCGCGCTGACTAAACATGCGTTCTATTCTACACGCTTTCCTGCCTCCACCCCACCCCCCGCCCCTCAGGCGCAGTCTTCCCAGTTCATGACACAATCTTTTAACCGTCGTAATCGGCGCTTACGCTCGAGGATATCACTCGACGAGTATCCGCCGTGATGAGCCGAGCTGTGTCCAGCTTACCGCAATTTCTCTTTCTGCTTTCCGTACGACGTACTTCACTCCTGCCCGTTGTCTGACCACCGTGTTTGGGATGTGATTCAATATTCTTCTTACTATTGCTCTGTCTGTCTCTCTCCCTCTCTCTGATAGGTAACCGGAGCTCCTCGGCTTTCCTGAGTGACCACGTCTCACCACCATACAGCATGCAGTCAGGACGGTAGAAGTGAAGAAGTGGGCGAGGGTTTCTTTCCCGATGTTGCTGAGGATTTCGTCCCTGAACGGAATGTGTGCAAACCGACCTTCTTTTTTGTTGAATCTCTTCAGCCTGATCATTTCGCATGTCCACTTCATGACCCAGGTAAATGTACTGATCGATTTCGATTTTTATACTCTTTAATAACAGCTGAACCTTTGGAAGGGCATCTGATCGCAGTATCGTCTTCCCTGACCGACTGATTCGCAGTCCGACTTCTGTGCGTCCGACTGTTTCTCTCGAGCGCGTAGAGCATATACTGTAGCT